CAGCATAGAACCGGTTCTATGTCTGCTGCTCTTCAGAGCTACCGGTTCTACAGAGGTGGACAGAACCGGTAGAAACCCACCCCTGCAGTCACCCATATGCAGATCTGTACCTTGGGGAAACAAAACAACAACTTCATAAGCGCATGGCACAACACAAGAGAACAAACCCACCAGGACTAGATTCAGCAGTTCTGCATTTAAAAGGCAACGGTCACTCGTTTGACGACAGCAAAGTCCACATTTTGGACAGAGGGGACAGCTGGTTTGAAATGGGGTCAAAGCGGCCATCTATGTCAAAACTTAACAGCCCTCTCTCAAAAGATATGACATCATCTATCTCCAGTCTACAACACAGTCCTTTCAACAGTTCCAAGATGGCTCCACACCCATTTGCACTACTCAGGTGACCCTGAGGACACAGATAAACCTCCAGGTAGCCTCAGAATGCAAATGACCAGTTGTCTGCTGGGAGTATAAATCCTTCCATTTCCCACCATCCAGCCAGAGCTGAAGAAGCTTCTTGGACAAGAAGAAAAATGTCTTCAAAGAAAAAACCAAAAGCCCGGTTGCCTCTTGAAAAAGCACGTTTGAGTTCTCCATTCCCTTTTCTTACGTAAACTCTCCTGAGGGTCCAGTCTTTGGCTTAACTTTTAAATCAAGGTGATCTTCAAAGTGAGAAGAGGCCCGGAGTCCTGTAAGCTTTTCAAATGTCACGGACCTCTCAGACTTGGAGACTTTCCAAAGGAAACTAGGTTCACCGTGTGTCCGAGTCCTGGTCCAAGGGCCCAGCCTTAAAGCAGGGCTTCAGTCAACGTGCACAATATGATCAGACAGGGCCAAAGATGGCTTTTTTGCACCTTGTGAACAAAGCGGTCTTTGCCACACAATAGGACAAGAAGGACAGGCATTTTATGAACTCCCTAAAGCATTACTCTTCTACCTGCTACTAAGAATCTAAGGGGGACAACAGAGCTAAGCCACAGAAGTGATGAGGGCTGCAGCAATACCCTCAGGGCCGGGGTGGGATACAATAGGGTTAACTACCGGGTTCGGGATTTATCAGCTTCCCTGCAGGCTGAGAGCCAGGCGCCTATAAATCGCCATCAGCAGCTGCCTGCAGAGAAGCAGCCTTTGAAACAGCCCTCTTTTCTTGCTTTTCTAACTGCAGCTGTGCCTCTTTCGGCAGCTGAAGTTGAAAAATCAGGAAATAAAGATCAGGTAAGAGCCCAGGTGGGTGGGCAGGCAAAAACAGCAGCAGGCATAGAACCGGTTCTATGTCTGCTGCTCTTCAGAGCTACCGGTTTTACAGAGGTGGACAGAACCGGTAGAAACCCACCCCTGGCTTCCTTAGGTAGTTCCTTTGACAGGCTGAGTGGCATTCAGCAAGAAGCTTTCAGGGTGTCTATGGGTCCAGACAAGCAGAAATCCAGCCAGTGCAGTACGGCCAGATCACCCTTTCGGCTTATAAGCAGCAGTGTGGACTTTGGAGGGAGAAGGAAAGGTTACCTCACAGGCTTATCCTAGAACATAACCTTTATACCCTTTAAAAATGCAGAAAAGAAGCAGAGTTTCCCATTATCCCGGCAGGAAACAAACTTTACTCATTGTTACATTTTAAACAGGTGTGTTTCAACTGCTTCAATTAGAAATTTTCGTGGCAGTTACAAAGCACAACCCCTCACTAAAGAATCAAAAGTGGCCTCCACCGAATCCTACTGGAAAAGAAATGTATCCACTGACCAGACCAGTGGCCAAAAAGTCCTCTTGGATAATGGAGCCCCCAGGGGCAGGTGGGAAACCCCCTCGGAGCTTGCCTAGGAAGCTTCCACCTGGGTAAAAGAGATGAATTGTTATGGGGTCATTACACGATTGCCCAGCGGTTTCCTACTGGAAAATGTCCGAAGTTGTCGTTTATTTTCTAGAGAAGACAAGCAGGTTAAAAAAAAAAGCCAGTTGGGAAGTTGCTTTCCAAATTGCTCTAACCGGGTTCTTGATGATGATCCCTTAATGGAAGTTCCGAGAGACAGCAGCCAGCCACTTCCGTGTGGTTTTCCCGGACATGCAGGGGTGTCACGTTGATGATGGGGTGTCCAGCTGAGCTGCGTGGAAGCTGCCCGTTTCTTTTAAGGTCAGGCCTGGAGAGCAGGACCCAGAGTGAGCTATGCCCGGCTCTCCTTCATGGGCATGGGAACTCTGCACAGCCACCCTGCTTCTCAGAAAGGCCAGTGGGAGGAGAGGGCCACATCCTGCTCTGCTCTGCAATTCACTTTCCTCAAGCCCTGAGGCTGTTTTGCTGAGGAAATCTTCTAAAATCAATGGCTTTCTGGCAAGGACTCTCATGAGGGTTGGATAAACTTAATTAGCAATGATGAATATTTACAGGTCTAATTCCACTTCCCCCAAACAGCTTTTTGTTTTTGGTGGGATCTCCCTGTCGCAGCCTCTTCAGTGCAGAGAGAGGGTTCTGAGCCGGAGGGGCAGATCTGCTCCTGCTGGGAAATCCCTGAGCACCATCCATCCTTTGGGAAACTGAGGCAAAGGCAAAGGAGAGATCCTCCCATAAGAGGAGAGATTCTGGAGTCCTGCATGATCAAGGTTCAGTTGTGCCAGGTGCAGAAACAAAGGGGACTTTTCAGGAAAGGAAAGTCATTTATCACCTAGATTTAAAAGTTGAATTTGCTAATATTTTATGGTATTCTATTATTTCTATTAACATTTTATGCTGAAATTACAGAATGATTTGTAAGTGCTGAATTTTTGATTGCCTTTACACTTGCTGGGATAGTATTAACCTTGAGTTACGTTAATAGCATTGTAAGAAGATATTAACAATGAAATTCCAAAAGCACTTAGCATCCGATAATTGGAATTAAATGACAAAAAGAAGATAATACAAGGGAGGGAAAGCAGGCGTGGGGTTGGCAGTATCTCCTTCATTTGCCACCACGCAGGCCAGCTTGCTCCAAGGAGCCCTGGTGCCACCCGGGCCGCCTCAGCAGCGGCCTTCACACTCGGCTGCCTCGCGCTCCGTCCACCTCAGCGGGAACCGTTTCCGGCCCAGCAGCTCCTCCAGGCCGGATCCTCCACCCGGACGACGGACCGGAGGGGAGACGGAGGGTCGTTTCCATCTGCCGCTGGGATCCGCTACGGCCCCGCCTTCAGGCGCGCTCCTTCCCGGGGAGGCACGGCCGGCCCTTGAGCCAACCGCGGTCACCGTCGGCGACGGACCGAGGAGTTTCTCGGGGCTTCGGGCAGCTTTCAAGGTCCGAGGGCCGCCCTGCCCTGCCCTTCTTCGCGGCGGGCTGCCAAGACGGGCGCGCGGGGCAGGCGGCTCTTCGCCTCGGGAGCCTGGCCGCGGGGACGCCCGCCGGGGAATGAGGCGGGGCCGAAGGGGGCGCGGACGGGCGGCAAAGCCGAGCCGCTCTCCGGCCTGCAGCGCGCGTTGGGCCTCGGCTTCCTCGGGCTCAGCCCTGCCTGCCCAAAGGCGGCTTCCTCGGAAGGGGCGGCGACCGCAGGAGCGCCTTCACCCGACCGGAAGCGCCGCTGGGAACGGCCCGGCCGAAGGGAAAGCGGCCCTCACCTTAGCGAGGCTCGGGGGGAAGTCGCTGGGGCCTCGGCTGCGCCGGAAGGTTGGGGGCGCTTCCTCTGCCTCCGCTTCGCACCTGCGGCTGGGAAAGGAGGGAAGCCTCGTGCCAGGCGCCTCCGCTCGAGCCTTCCTTTCTTTCGCCGCTCCCGTCCGACCTCTTGCCGCCTTTGACTTCCTCAAAAGTGCCTGGCGATTCTCCAGCCTCCCAGCGGAGCCGTTTCGCTCTTTCGGATTTTGCACGTTTGATCGACTAATTTGCCCCGCGCCCTTCAGAAGCGGACTTTCTAAAGCTGCCCAGGTTCCACCTTGTGTACTTGACTCCGCAAAGGCCTTGTGCAAGTTTTGTGTCATTTTTAAAATGGAAGCCGACTCTGGAACATTTAAAGTCCACCAACCCTGAACTAAAGAAAAAGGTATCTTTAGGAGCCAATCGTGGGGGCTCCATCACTGGAGGCTCTTAAGAAGAGACTGGACGGTCACTCGTCTCAGACTGCACTGTAGGTTCTCCTGCTTGAGAAGAGGGCTGGACTAGAAGACCTCCAAGCTCCCTTCCCCCTTTATTCTACTCTACTCTGCTCGTATTCTAACCCCTTGCTAGCCTCCCAGACAATGAGAGGCTTGGTAGGACCAAGCAGCGTTGGCTCAACTAAAGCGGAGGGCCTCCTCATTCATCCCTGGGTCCCACTCATTCTGCAGAGATTCCTGGTCCCCTTCTCCATTACTCCCACCTCTCCTCCTCTCCTGATATGCATCCTGGCACTGGAAAAGGAGCCAGATGTGAAAGGTGGAAGGGAGGCAGGCAGGCAGGAAGGCCAAGGCTATCAGCCAAGACTACTGACTTGAAAGAAGAAAGATGACCAATTGCCTTGGGGACCCCTTGTTGTCAGCACTCTGTCCCTTATCATCATCCCCTCCCTTCCCCCTCCGCTCACCATAGGTACTGGCCCTTATCCTGGGGGAGGTCAAGTGGGAAAGGCAGCCCACAGGTGAGCTCTGGAATCTCCATGGGGCAACAACGATGTCTGGACAGCAACTGCTTTGGAAGTTTCCAGCCCCAGAATTCTAATGGTCTGGTGTTTCTCTGTTGGTCTATCAGCAGAAATGAGACTGTGGAGTGTTTCCCCGAGTCCTGCCAGTGTCTTTATCCAACCCACAGGGCTACAGTGGGGAGAGGGCTGGACCAGCATAGAGGAGACCCAGGAAAGCAACCTGGGTGATTTGGGGCCAGTCAGTCTGTTTCCGGGGGGCGGGGGGGGGATGGAATGAAGAGTGCTATGTGCAATATGTTGAGTTCTTGGAAATAGAGGAGGACGTCAATCCAACAAATAGTAATAAATAGATTGTAAGTAAAATGATTAATGACAGAACCAGCTTTCCCCCTCCCATTGAGCCAATGTTCCCTATTCCCCTACAGGTCCCGTCCTCCAGAAATCCGGAGCTTTCCGGCCAAACTTCAAGAAGCTGCAGGCCACCAGCGCATGGCTTCCATCCCTGGACCTTTCTTTCCCCCCAAGGGATTCCCTGGAGGGAGGGGCCTCCTGAGGGCCAGGCTGTCATTTAACCTTTTGTCGCGTCTTCATTTTTGTTCCTAGCCCAGCAGGAACCGCCAGTTCTGCAGCCTCATGAATAGAACCGAGCATTTGATCTGAAATTGTTTTTCAATAGCTGTATCTTCTTCTCTGTTATTGCTTTACATGGCATATGTTTGTACAATATTGAAAATCAATAAAAGTACAAAAATGTTTCGTCTTCTTTTTAAAATGAAACTATCTTGTTAGCATTCTGGAGCTGATGCTCTGCTTTTCCTCTTTTCTGTTTCTGGGGCTCTTTGAGGGACGGGGCTGAGATGCGCAGCAGAGCAGATAGAAGAGCCCCCCCCCCCTCCTTCCCAGCCCCAAGAGCAGCTTCTGGCAGGCTCTCTCTCTCTCTCTCTCTCTCTCTCTTTCTCTCTCTCTCACACACACACACGGACACACACGGACACACACGGACACGCACACAGGGGCTCTCTTAAAAACAGGCTTGCATGGAGGCTCTTTCCAGGCTGGGTTGGTTTTAGTCAGTGGCAGCTTGAGAAAGGCTACCTCCCCCCACCCCACCCCCCGCCACCCAAGTCAGGCCTTGCCTGGCAGCCGAGGAAGGGCCACGGGGTGAAGCCAATATTTTCAACATCATACAGGCTTTCTTCAAGGAGGGGGAGGCTTGCTGTCTCATTTGGGAAATTCTGGAGGACCTGATTCTGACCATAGTCATTCCAGTTCGTATAAATCAGACTCATAAGGGCACTGAGAGTCTGCTATCAGTCCAATTCCTTCAGAAAGCAAAAGGAATGAAGTGCAAAATCTAAAAAGTCTGAAAAGAGGGGCTCCCTTACCATGGTTTCCTCCTCCCTGAAATGGGACAAGTGGAGACGGGGCGGCATATAAACAGACCATGAATAAATCCTGGACTTTGTAACTGAGGGATCTGGCTCTGTCCACCTTAAATTCAGCCCCATTTCAGAGGGAAGAAACCCGATGGCAGCCTTTGGGTGATGCTGCAGGGCGGCATCTCTCACTGCAGGCAGCAGCCAAGCGGCCAAAGGGGGAGGTGGGGGGACAGCGGGCCAACCTCGGAGTGCTTTAGTGAAGTGGCATTAAATGGCTGGTCTGGCTGGGCAGCTGGGACTGAGCACTTCACTAACTAGAGATCCAGTAGCCTGACATGGCCCAGGTCTCTGGCCGATGACCCCTGGAGTGCAGCACAAGATGAGGACATGGCACCCATCACAAGGGTTCACATCGAGTCCGTTGCCCGATGCTGATCAGAACCTGCTTGCCCAAAGAAGGGCAGCTCTGCCAGGAGAGGCACCACCAGGCCTCCGGGCCAAGGAAAGAGCCCCTGTGGTCAACATGCACCAAGGAGGCCCCTGTGGGCTGAAGGTGAGACCCCTAGACGCCTCCCAGCTGGAGGTGGGTGCTCCGTCTCTCCCCACCGTTCTGTGGCAGCACAGCCAGTCCGGGGGCTTGGTGCCCTTCAAGGCTGGGATGGTGCAACCCAGCTCCTGTTCAAGAAGGTGCCAATCTGACAAGCAGAAAGAAGCCTGACTGAGGGCCTTTGGAAAGCCCAAAGAGGAAGGGACCAATCCTGAACGACAGCGAGGGACGATAGCATTAGCCGTGATTAGCGGGCTTTACCAAAGAGAGCGGAGGGGGGGCGGTATCAGATGCACAGAAGACAGACAGGAAGTATGATCTCTACCCCACCCGAGTTGCTGCCAATCTGCTGATTAATTACAGGTGTTAATTGGAGGAGAGTATAATGGAACGATTGCTGAGCATACCAGATGAATGTCCATATTGGCCAGAAGCATCCAGATTACTTGGCTTTGCTTTTTCTTGTGGGAAGAGCACAAAGCTAGCTAGTTGCGCTTTTTGAAATCCCAAGAACGTGAATGACCAAAGGCCGGCCGCTCAGTGCCAGGGGCTGTGAATTACCTCAGGATCCCAGTTTGGCTCCTTAGAATATCTCTGAGCATCTGCCCGAAGCCTTCGAAAATGGAGCTCCTGAAATCACTGTCAAGGGTGCTGGACACGGCAGACCAGGGGTTTAATATTTTTCTTTGCTCCTCAAGATAGATGGGGAGGTTGGAACCATCCTGAGCCTAACGATCAATTAAAATGAAACAAACTTTCCTTGGTCACATTTTAAATTATGCATAAGCCTTAAGGCATCCTTCTCTTCTCTCTTTCCAAGCTTGAGACCCAAGGCTGAGATCAAGCTGAATTATGGGCTAGATTCCAGGGAGCAAAACCCAGATTAAATCTGGATCCCATGCGTTTTGCGTAACTCCTTCCTCCCTCGGCTCATCTCATACTCAAGGATGTAGCAGGTATCTCTTCATTCCCATAACCAACAGGATATGGGGGGAGGGAACCGATTCCTCTAGGCATGATTTTTGGAGCAGAAGGTTAAAATGAACCAACACAGGGCTTGTCTCTGCGGAGCCCGTCCATCTCATGCCTTTGCTCAGTGAGGACTAGTGTTCCCAAAAAAATAATAGGATGAATAGGTCAGCAGCATCCAAAATCCCTTTTAGAAACTGAGCAATGATGAAGATGACGACCACATTCCTTGAGGCTGACAGACAGAATGCACTTCTGTTCGCTGAAGGGGAATGAGACCTCAAAGTTAGCTTCAACCCACTGGGAGTCAGGTTGGGGCTTCCCGCTCCTCGCTCTCCTCGCCCAGTGACCTCACAGAAAGTTCTCTCAAGTGCTCCCCATTGCTCTCTGCTCTCAAATTGCCCCCAGAACCCCCTGGAAATTCCCTCAGGTGTCTAACAAGCTTCAGACACAAGTGAGGTTTAGAAAGACAGAGAAATCAATACATCAGCTTCCACCAGTCAGGCTGAGGGATTAGCCATCCCAGAAAAAGCATTGACAGTTGAATAAGGGAATCATGACGCTGAATAACCTGGGAGGTTTATAAAGCTGGGAAGCCCCCTTTGGCCTGGATAACCTCCAGCTGACCAAGGGAGGCTGTGAAAATATTCACTTAGCTTCCTCCCCTTCTCTGTCAAGGAGGCCATCGTTCCACCTCTGGGGTCAGCCGGGGAGCAGAAGACACTATCACACAGCATCCTTGGTCCAAAAGACCACCCTGACATCCTCACTACTAAGACTTCAGGTTTCCAGCAGCTGATCCTTGGCCTCTTCCCACTGTAGTGGCCAGCAGTAGGGATGGGACCTTTTCAATGGGGCCGTTGGGGAATTGATGCTCCATTTGAAGCACCTTTAAATGAACTTTGACATTTTTCTTGCCTTCACCTTTCAGCTAAAACTGAAGTTTTTAAAATGCAATAGTTTTATCTGAACTATGCTGTTCCGGGTGAGACTGCATAGTAGGGGTCATTGCAATTACACTTGTAACTCTTACCATCTTCAGGCTTTGCCCTGGAAGGTGGTCCAGAAATACTGACGACAGCCAAATCAGGGCCACCCTGACCTCTGCACGTGGCCGTGAAAAAGAAGCAGCTCAGCTCAGGCCTTTGCTTCCTCTACCACCTCCCAGTAAGAGGTTAGCATGAAATGAAGATTTGCTACTCTAGAGTTTCGGCAGCTGCCAGCCAGGGCTTCTTGGAGTAAAGACAAGGGAGGGATGTTGTGCCAGCTTCTGTCACACACTGTTTCTCCAGGCACCTCCTGGGATAACTTGGAGCAAAGGTTCTTGACAAGAATGTGGGGCTCTAAGGCCAGGACTTGCTAAGCTTGAGCTGAAGCCTGGGGTTCCCCACCCAGACTGTCTCCTAACCCTAAGCCTCGGGAGAGGAAAGGACCCTGACTCTTTGCCCTGGGGTGGGCTTCCTTGCAGCTGGCCTGCTGGGCTCCAGGGACAGGCATTTCTCCCTTCTGCTTCTTAGCAGGCCAGCCCCTGCGGCCAAGGGCGCACCTCCCCCCCCCCCCCCGCCACAAGCAGCACAGACAGGCTTTTGGCTGAAGGACAAACAGCTGAGCAGCCCCCAAAAGCCACTGCCAGTCTTCTCCTCAGCTCCTTTCCCTCCAGCAACCCCCCAAACTCTGCCAGCCCGGGGAGAGGTGGGTGGCCCCCAAGTGGCCCTTGTGCGGACGACGGGCTACAATGGGTCACGGGGAAGGAGTTGGCAGGTGCTGACCTGGTGTACATTTTCTCCTCTCACCCAGTGTTAGTTCTCCGTACCCATTTCCCAAGAAGCCTGATCTAGATCCCAAATAAAAGGAAGCCGTTAAAAAGCCAACCGAGAGGGAGACGGAGTGGCAGGGATTCTCCAGAGCCGCCTCTGATATGCCAGGCGCCTCTGGAGGCCGGCTGGCAGCCCTGCACAGGGGCTCAGCAGGCCCACGGCTCCAGGGGATTGAGGCTGTCCCATAAGGCATCCTAAGAGCTGCTGGCAAGGGAAAGGGGGAAATGGCCTGTGCATCCCCCTCCCCAGCCACACGTGGGGTGGCTCCCTCGCAGAGTAGAAACCGAGGTGATTTACAAAGTCGTTGACAAATGCCTCTATTGATCGGGTATTAAAGAGTCTTGTGATTAATACAGCCTTCGAAGTAATTAGTGCGGAAGAACTCTTACATCTCCAGATGTCTAAAGAATACATCTGCAAACCGTGAGGCTGCTGTCAGTCGGCCTCATCCAAAGCCTCTTCGGGCTTTCCAAACCAGGCCCTCTCTCTCCTCATTGCCCCCTGTAATCTAAATCTGGGGGGGGGGGGAGCAGATCAACAGAAGCAGCTACCTGTGAGGGCCAGAGAGGAAACCCCAAGGCCCCACCTGCCCAGGACCTCGGGACACTCCCCACAGCCCAGCCCTGCCCCTTCCTCTTGCACTGACACTGCTGGCTGGGGGAGGGAGAGAAGGAGCACAAGCCGTTTCCTATCTTCCGAGACACGTCTGATGATCGCAGCTTCCTTAATTGCCATGTAAACCACATGCTGGTGTGGAAGCTGCTGGGAAGACCCAGGCATCAGGCAGAGGGAGAATCCATTATCACTTAACACCAGCTGGAAGGAATTGTGCGTCTGACGCCTCTGCCCCCCTCCCTCCTCGCAGCAGCTGAAGGAGCGAAACAGCTGCTCCTCTGGGCCACCTCTGCTGCAGAGCCCCCAGAGGCCCCTCAGCGCCAGCACTGGGCAGCGCCCGGCCTTGGCCAAGGAGGACCGGCCTTGCCAGGTTGGGAGACCAGCTGGCAGAGGAGAGGAGA